AATTTCATTAAACCTCATTATGTAAGGAAAGTAAAACATTAGTGTGTCCAGTGGCAACCATTAAAATCCTGTCTTTCATTTTCCAAGCTGCAAGAAATATGCAATCTGCATCTACCATGCTAGCTTGATCCCTGTAATGTGGCCAAGCAGTGGGGAAAACTAGTAGAATTGAAGGGGTAGGCGATCGCTATAAGGATCACCAGGAAGAGGGAGATCCTGATTAATAAAAGAATTTGTATTTTTCTAAACTGGTCTGGAGTAACCTCTGTGATCGGCACACTGCTCAGGGTGTAAATATCCTTTTTTTTTTTCCTTCAGATCCTGATTCCCCTATATAGATGTTTAGTTAAACCCCATTTAAAATACTCTGTCCAGTTCTAGAGACCTCATTTACAAAAAGATATTGCTATGATACTGGTCCAGAGACTGGCAACAACAATGTTGAAAGGTCTAAGGACTGCAGGAAACAAATATGTACAGTTTTGAGGAAAGAAGGATAGGGCGGGGGGGGGCATTATTCAAACCTTTGAATACATTGAGCGTGATTAAGGTTTGGGGGGCTGAGATCAAGAACACAGAGACATGACCTTCTACTAGTGGGAGAAACGTTCAAAACGAACCACAGAAAGTATTATTTTAGACATGGGTAGTGATTTGAGTCAACAGTATGTGAATGTAAACATGCTGCGACAAGCCTAGATCTACACTCTGACAAAAAGGTGAAAAAAACAACAACAAATCAAGAGGTAGATTCGACGGACCACTTAGTATTTTTCTGCCATCCTTCTATGTTAAAGTTGCTAGTGCCCCCCCCAGCCCTACCCCAATCAAATCTGGCTCTGCTGGACATTTTCAGTCTTCAGTGAATGCAACTTTAGTGTTCTTTCTTCTAGCATGCTTTTGCAGTATACTGATTGGCTTTGCTAAAGCATCCCTTCCCTTTACCAATGTTTACAAAATGACAAGTCAGCCATGGCGGCTCTTTTGATAGTGGCATTCTTTTTGGATGCCTGAGATATCTGAATATCTCTCACAAGTTGACATGCTTTTGATGTGTATTTGCTGAATATTCTTTTACATGATACTTTTGTATATTTGATCTTGTATCCTCTTGCAGGAAAAGAAGACCAGAGCTGAGCTGCAGAAGGCTGTTTTTATTCCAGTCTCTCAGATTTCTTCAGAGATTGGTGAGTTGAAGTGAAAATGCCTTATTTGTCTTGGGGGGATGCAAATAGACTATCGGCAGAATTTATTAAAGTGGGAGCATTACAGCAAGCAAAAAACGGAGTAGCTAAGATACAGTGACTTGTAAAAAAAAAAAAAAAAAAAAGCTTCACCTTTCTGGGTGCATTAGGGGTGCCTACAACAGTATACAGGCAGTGCCCGGGTTACGTACAAGATGGGGACTGTAGGTTTGTTCTTAAGTTGAATTTGTATGCAAGTCGGAACAGGTAAAAAAATTTTCAAGTGCAACTCCAGCCAAAAAAACATCTTTTAGTTTTACAGGACTACAAATTCTAGCAATATCTTATACAACCATGCAGAATACCATCAGCTTTGTATAATGTTGCTGGGATTTGTAGTCCTGTATAGCTGGTGGTAGTCAGCATTGTTGTATAATCATTAGAGCAATGCTGAATACCACCAGCCCAGCTACAGTCCCCCAATCCTCCCTTTCCCCCCAAGCCCAGCCATCACCTATACACTCCCCAACCTCCCCTAACACATGCAGGCTGCAGCACCTCTTCGCCTGCGTCCTTGGCAGCCACTGCAGGGGAAGGATCACAGGAGAGGGTACTCACCGTGACCCGGTGCCTGCAGAGTCTCGTATTGGCTCCGTTATGCTACTGTTATGCTAACAGTTCTCCTAAATGACGGGGAGTTGCACAGCCGCCTGTGTGCATCGAATCCCCTCACAGCCGCCGACGCCATCACATACAGCTGTCACTCAGTGTCACCGACTTTACTGCGGTTCATTGTGATAAGTTTTTTTTACAATGAACTGCAGTAAAGTCTGTGGCACTGAGTGACCTCTGTATGTAGTTGTGTCACTACACTGCGGGAGTGCAGGACCTGCGTGTGGCAGGGGCAAGGAGCGGCACTAATCTCGGAGGGGGCAATCGGACCTCGATTCGTAAGTACGGGTTGTTCGTAAGTCGGGCATTCGTAAGTCGGGGACTCCCTGTTCTTATATTTCCAGGGTTTAAAACTTGTAAAAATAAAAAGTGTTGCTCAGATGTTTTTGGCAGTGTTATAGTAAGTCCAGTCCTATTTGGACTGCATCCTCTTCATGTAAATGGAGAGAAAAGTATAAAAAGCATGTGGATTTAAAAGAATTTATGTACGGAGTATTAAATGTAAAAACTGCATGCTCTCATCAGAGTATAATGTTCTTTGCAATAGTGACCTTTTAAGTAACACTTGAAGAACACGTTCACTAAATTTGATTGTGTAGTTTCAGCTCAAAGTACCCCCATTGGCCCCCCCAAAGAAATAGATGAAAGTTCCTTTATTGTAGAAGAGATTTATTTCTTGCCCATTGAGGGACACAGGAAGTAATTCACCTTTGGGTTATATTGCGCCTACGGGAGGATAGTACACTGGAAAAAAAAAATGTTTGTCCAGCCAGGAGAACACCATACCTCGCGATTGTCCCTTAAAGTGACACTAAACTCAAGTTAAATCTTAAAAATACATTTAAGTACCTTTTAACGATCAACAAATGTATCTTATTTGTGTATCACTCGGCTGTAGATCCTCAAATCGTCTCTGAATTGGTGCTGACACTGTCCTTCCTTCTGGAGGGGGGCTACTTTTGTTCCCCATGGTCCCTGTGTGTGTTGTAAAGTAGCCACCGCTCCAAACGCGCTCCGATAATGGGCTACAATCTCACATTTACTAATTTGTAGGAATGAACAAAATTTCGTCTGCCAAAATATTTCATCCAAAAGTGTTCCTATCAGGAAAATGTCGATGGTACCATAACTGCCGAAAATTCAATTCTCTCCTCCCCCACGTCCCTTCAGATGCCCGCTACTCTCCCCTGCCTGTGTCGGCAGAGGCAGCGGGGGTCCAAGGGGACACAGGGAATCCAGCTGCCGGAGCCCAGCAGGTAGGAGTGAAGCTCTCGGGATGCTCTGTGGGGAGGAGAGCTGTCGCAGGAGGCTGAGCTCTCTTCCCGCACCTTCCTGCTCGGCCTCCTCTGTCTGGATGGGGAGTGGTGGTGACAGCTGTGATCTGTCACAGGAGGCAGAGCTCTACTGCCCACCCCCCTCCTGTGACAGCCGATTCAGAACGGAGAGCGGTATACAAACACTCACGATCAGCTGAACGGTGAGTGTTTGTAAATAACTGGACATAGTCTGCTTAATATGTCCCAGTTATTTATGTATGGGAAGTGATCTACTTCCTATTCATTCATGATTGTGGACATAGTAATTACACTATATCTACAATGTATGAATGAACCAGAACACTCAGTATAGAGGATTCCTGTTCATTGATAACAGGGGCTGCAGAAAAAGAGATTGCGGACTCTGTTCTCAATCTCTTTTTCTATTTTAAAAGGTAAATATCAGAAGTCTGTTTAGACCCCCTAATATTTTCCCAGAGCCCCCAACAGTAATATAAATAAAATAAAAAATAATTTAAAAAGCATTTAATTTGCATTTCCTTTAAGAAACAGCTACCGTATATACTCGAGTATAAGCCGTCCCGAATATAAGCCGAGGTACCTAATTTTACCAAAAAAAACTGGGAAAAAGTATTGACCCGAATATAAGCCGAGGGTGGGAAATGAGGCAGCTACTGGTAGATAGATACCAATAAAATTACATTAATATTTATTTAAAAGAAAAATAACCTAGCTCTGTAAGTGGAAAAGGGGGTACAGGGCTACATATCATGTACTACGGATCATTTAACCCATTCATATTAGCAGAGGATAATTGTAAATCTATTGTTCAGTGCACTCTATATGTAGTATATAGTACATGTACATATAGAGTGCCTGCAACAATACATTTACAATGATCCTCTGCTAACATGAATGGGTTAAATGATCCATAGTACAGGGCTACATACAGATCATTTAATACATTCATGTTAGTATAATTGTAAATGTATTGTCTGCACTGTATTAGCAGTATATACTCTATATAGAGTATATACTGCTAATACAGTGCAGACAATACATTTACAATTATACTAACATGAATGTATTAAATGATCTGTATGTAGCCCTGTACTATGGATCATTTAACCCATTCATGTTAGCAGAGGATCATTGTAAATGTATTGTTGCAGGCACTCTATATGTACATGTACTATATACTACATATAGAGTGCACTGAACAATAGATTTACAATTATCCTCTGCTAATATGAATGGGTTAAATGATCCGTAGTACATGATATGTAGCCCTGTACCCCCTTTTCCACTTACAGAGCTAGGTTATTTTTCTTTTAAATAAATATTAATGTAATTTTATTGGTATCTATCTACCAGTAGCTGCCTCATTTCCCACCCTCGGCTTATATTCGGGTCAATACTTTTTCCCAGTTTTTTTTGGTAAAATTAGGTACCTCGGCTTATATTCGGGACGGCTTATACTCGAGTATATACGGTACTCTGTGGACTGATCTTGACAAAAGTGAGGTCAAGAGCATCCATGTTCCTCAGCTGAAGAAGCATAAGTAACAGGCTGGAAAAATCTTCGCCCTGTGAATGCTTGGGTGGAGGTGATGGTATTCCAGGGCTATAAACTGGGGTTTCACTTTCTGTCCCCTTCCATGGTTCCTCGCCTCCAAACTTACTGTGTCACTGTAGAGATTAGTACATCTCATTCAAGCCCTCTTCGTCCTTCAGGGTCAAGGAGTCATTATTGTTTCCAGTTGTTGTTTCCAGGGGTTTTACTCGTCTATTCACTGTTCCCAAGCCAAAAGGAACCACTTTCCCCATTTCCATTTCAAAGCTCTACTATCTTCATTTGAATCCAAATCTGTCATTGCCTTCCTGCACCAGGAGAACTTTCTGTCTTTATGTGGGCATCAAAGATGCCTACTTGCATGCCCCCGCTTCTTTCCAGCGCATCGATTCCTGTGCTTTACTGTGGGGTCGCTGCACTACCAGTTTGTGCTCTTAGGCCTCTCATCCGCACTTTGGGTATTCACTGGACGTCTTTCTCAGGGCGACTCAGTGACCTGGGGTCTATACTTTACAGAAACTCAAGAGATTGTGGATCATCTCGCAGGGTGCTAGCTTCTCTCCAGAAAACCATGTGACGTACATTGAGTAGAGTTGCACAGTTATGACAGTGCTTGACCAGATATCATCCAAGAAGGGTGCTGAGCAAAACCAGTAGTATCTAATCACTGAGACACCCTGAGGAAGGGAGACCTTGTGAGGACCCAAAACATTAGCATTTTGACCTTGTGAATTTAGATTTTATGAATTTTAGAAATGCATTGGTGCCTCTTTTGAGGCAGTCCCATTTACCCAGTTTCACTCCAGAACTCTACAACACAACATTCTGCCATTGTGGGACACGTTGATCCAGTCTCAGCAAGGACTGATGCATCTATCACCAAGGACTAGATTTTCCCTGGCCTGATGGCTCGGGAATCCAGGTCTGGAGTCAGGGAAGTCCTTTTTTCTTTCTGTCTCTTTTGGAGGATCCTCACAACAGAAGCCAGCCTGTCGGGCTGGGATGGAGTCCTGGGTACCTTGTCTGTGCATGGGAATCTCATCTCCCAATCAACATGCTAGAACTTTGGCATATTGGCTTTCTCTTCAGAATTGGACCTTCATACTGGAGGGTCATTCAATCAGACAATGCTATCGTGGTGGCACACATCAACCATCAGAGAGGATTCATAAGTCTTGCCACAGCAAGAATTGACGATTGGATATTGTCTTGGGCACAAATTGATGCTCCAGCCTTTTCAGCTGTGTACTTTCCAGACCTGGGCAATTGGCAGACAGACTTCCTCAGATGGGTCGTGGGAGTGGTCCATACAACCACAGGTTTTCCAGGACCTAATGCAAGTGCAGCAGTCTGGGTGTGGGCCACTTGGCCTCCACGTTTAACAAACTTGACAAGTTTGTCTCCAGGTACAGGGATCCTCCAGTGGATGCTTTGGTGGCTTTGTGGGATCAGTACACCCTAAACTATGCTCTCCCCTGAAGTTTCTTCCTCGTATGCTTTGCAGGATCGAGAGTGAGCAGCAGTGATCCTGGCATGTTGGTAGTGTAAGGGGTTATCCTGTGCTGGCCATTTAGTTTATTTTGTTGTGTGTCCAATCCTCCTGTAGTTGGTAGTCTAACCCAAAGGTTAAAGACTTCCTGTGTCCCTGAATGTACTCCTAGAAACGGATTTCACGTGGAGTACAGAAGTCCTATTATACTTTTCTCTCTGGCAGCCCTTCTCTCGTTCCTTCAGCCTGCTGCAGCTTTCTTCAGGCATTTGATACTTCAGGAGTTCTAGATTCCTGTGCGCCCCCCCGCAACACATTGTGCTATTATTCTCCACCCCCATGTCACTGGCGTATCCTGTACGGGGTCGCTGGATGAGACTAGCACCCAGTGTGGAGCTCAAGCATTGGACACTCTCAGAAGTGTTCAATGCTGAAGAGACTGATGCAGGCCGCATCAATGGAATAGAAGAAGGCAAGAAGACCCGAATGCTGGAGAGGCGAGTATAATCTCTCTTCTATTGCAAGGACCTTTTCATCTGGATTTTTTTTTTTTTTCAGGGGACTGACATATTTCAATATGTTTCCAACTAAAATTTGGATATCTGGGCCTCACAAATTTTGCTTTGAGTGTGACCGTGATTGTTTTGTCTTTCCTTTCTACAGTTAGTGTGCAGGAGGTGTTTAAAAAATTGAACACCTTGCTAGCGGGAGAGGAGGTTAGAATGAGAGATTACTCGGTGTCTGTATCTCGGCATGCCCTGGCTTTGGAATTTGTGAATTACAAGCTGGCCGAGAGGTTTGTGGTAAGTCTTTCGTTAGACATCAGAGCACGTATCCTGCAACATCCTTCATTGCATTCCTGAGTATTTTTCAGATCTCCTATTTTAGCTTTGGGTTTTCAGACCTTTATAGATGTGCTTTGTTTGTCAACAGAACCAAGCAGAAGAAGAAGTAGCTTCCCATCACGAATCGGCTTTTCCTATAGCCATGGTGCTTTCTGGGATATGGGAGAGGCACCCCAGAGTGGGTGAGCTCTTCCTTGCTCACCTGTATAAGAAGTGCCCTTATGCTGTGCCCTATTACCCAGTACTTGAGGAAGGTGTTACTCTCGTAGACTACCAGAGGTAAGCATCAATACAAAATCTAATACACAAGTTGGCTTTGCACAAGACGACTGTTGTCTGCTAATGATGAGAAATCAGCTAATGAATGTTTACAATCTAAAAGAAGATGGACAGATGACCGATTACTTTAGGGTACTAGAAAAGTTGTACAGACCAGACACTGGGAATAACCTAAAGCAATAACTGTAAGCATCCATGCCCCTCACTCTAAAGGTGCCCATACACTGTACGATTATCGTATGGGAATCGCGGGAAATCCCGCGATCGTACGATAATAGCAAAGTGTATGGAAGGCGTGTGACCATTTTCGAACGTCTTCCGTCGAACAAGCAGGCTGGAAAACCCGCCGAGAATTGTGCGATTCTCGGCGAGTTAGTGGCCTGCTTGTTCGACAACTGCCGAACGGGCCGGTGTGCGGTACCGTACGATTAACAGGGCACAATCGCATCTACCATGAATTGTGATGTGGGAGTTGTGTTGCGTTGCTATTCATTTGAATGGTACCCCAAACGCACCTCCCACCCACAGTTTGTACGCCTGCACTAGAACGCGTGGTTCCCTAATGCCGTGCGTTCCAGACAGAGCAGCGCCCAGCGGGGAGGAGAGAATGGATGCACCGCTGCATCGGTCAGTAAATGGCACTTTTGCCATTATGCCAAAATTTTCGGACGTTATATCGGTGCATCCCTACTGAATACAGACAGATGCTTTAAGTTGTAGGCATCATGTAGACAGGAGCCGCTGCAGTAATCTCATCAGTTATAGCAGCAGAAAGTCTATGGCAGGTGAGGAGGACTTTAGATGGAGTTTTTTAGTGCACAGACTCGAGATCCCTATGTGCGTGATAACCTTCTCAAAGTTTGTCACATACTGCAGTGCAGTAGCTCCAGAATTTAAAATGCATGCAAGTAAGTCATACCCCGTAGATCTGCATCATACCCCGTAGATCTGCATCATACCCCGTAGATCTGCATCATACCCCGTAGATCTGCATCATACCCCGTAGATCTGCATCATACCCCGTAGATCTGCATCATACCCCGTAGATCTGCATCATACCCCGTAGATCTGCATCATACCCCGTAGATCTCCATTCAACTATCGGGTTGATCACTATCACAGGTTCCTTGTTCCTCTCGGGAATTGACCGTCAAACCTTTTTAGTTCATGGCTTTCACAAGTGGTTTTACTCTTGTGCCTTACTTGACTTTTAAAAAGAGCTAAAGCATGGAGATTTATTTTGTCTTTACTTTAGTCTCCAGCAGACCTAAGAAATTGATTTCTTTCCCAGTGATGCGGGTAGATGAACATTTTAAAATCCTGTCATCATTTATTTATGTATATTTTTTTCCCCTATAGGAAATTGGGATATATTGTTGATGGCTCAGTGGTTGAGCGACAGGACAACTTCTTGAAACGCATGTCGGGAATGATCCGGTTGTATGCGGCCATTTTACAAATCCGCTATCCTTTTGGGACAGTAAAAAAGGTATGTGTGTACCTATTGTGGCGATGTCTTTTTTTTTTTTTTTGTTTTCCTTTTAAAGATCCTGGAGTGAAAAAGATTGAAGGCTACATTTCTGGACGTCCCATTAATTAAGGGGTTGTCATGCTGATCCGATGGCTTTAGTGCCGTGTAGATCACAGACTCGGAACATCATATAAGGCTGGGTTCACACCTAGGCGTATTGAATATGCATGTTTATCGCGTGTTTCGTGACACGCGTTTTTACCGCAGTTCGCGGTAAAAAAAACACGCGCCAAACGCGTGTTTCCGAGGGCTACCTGGCTGTATCCCAATGGATACACACGGCAAATACGCCCCAAAGAAGCTCCTGTACTTCTTTTGGGCGTAGGGCGTTTTGCAGCGCTGTAAAACGCCCAGGTGGAAACCATGCCCATAGGCAATCATTGGTTTTCACATGTTGAGCGTTTTACAGGGCGTAGGAACGCGCTGTAAAACGCCCAGGTGTGAACCAGGCCTAAAAATAGAGATTGTTGGGTTATTCACAAAAGGGTGAAGAGTTTGGAGAAGGCCGGAGAAGTGAACAGTCTAGGACAACACAGCTGATTTGGAATAATTTTCCAATTCGGCTCACTTTCTAGTTCAGATATGTTGTCCTAGATTGTTCACTTCCCCGGCCTTCTCCAAACTCTTCACCCTTTTGTGAATAACCCTGCAAGAGTTTGTTGTGTGTTATGGCAGAAAAGTCTCTTCTCTTCCCCTCTGAAATTGGTTTCACTTGGCCCTTTTCATTGATGCTTCTGCTGATGAGTTGCCCCCTTTGATAGGATCGCTGGTTTATCATAGGCCTTAGTAACAGTGAATCAGTTTTCATCAGGCACAGAATGTAGTGTTTGTTTTGGCTAATCAAGACCATAAATTGGCTGGATCTACCTGTAGCTAGTGCCACTGTCTGCAGACCATGTGTAGACAAGCTATTTCCACTATAATACCTTTTTAAATCTTTAATACATTTTGGTTGCTTTATTAAGCAGAGAGCAATGTATAATGTCATTTTGTTTTCAAACGAGGTTTGTTTTAATTTTATTTAAAAGATTTCTGTATAGAGCCTCTCTCCCCATCCCCCTTTCTTGATGATCACCAATTTACTGTATATCTTTTCCAAAATGCATCCATTTTAGCTCTGTGCTACTATTGGTCATACTTGTGGCCACAGCTTTTAGACATTTATTAAGGCTGGTAGAAGGAAAGTAGATGTTGCCTATAGTAAATACTCAGATACTAGTTGGTTGTTTTGCTTTAACTATTGCCAAGAATGTATCTTATTTGTGCATCATTCAGCTGTAGATCCTCAAATCATCTGAATTGGTGCTGACACTGTCCTTGCTTCTGGAGCGTGGCTACTTTTATTCCCCATGGTCCCTGTGTGTGCTGTAAAGTAGTCACCGCTCCAAGCTCGCTCCCGTGATGGACTACAATCTCAATACAAATTGGTAAACTAAATATGAGATTATAGTCCATCATGGGAGGGCTCTGGTGATGGAGGGTGAGGGCTCTGGTGCTGGTATCCTACTTGAATGCCATCATTAACAACCCTTTTATTAACTATAGTACATAATAGCAAAGCTTTGCATTTAATAATACCTTGCAGCCAGATTCATAAGGTTTTTCTTTACAGTGCTTCCAAAATGTATTTTACTCTACATTTTAGGCTGGGTTCACACCTAGGCGTATCGAATATGCGCGTTTGTCGCGCGTTTCGTGACGTGCGTTTTTACTGCGATTCGCGGTAAAAAAAACGTGCGACAAGTGCGTGTTTCCGAGGGCTACTTGGCTGTATCCCAATGGAAACGCTCGACAAAAAGCCCGAAAGAAGCTCCTGTACTTCTTTGGGCGTAGGGCGTGTTGTAGCGTGTTCATACGGCCTGTAATACGCCCAGGTGTGAACCATACCCATTGGAAATAATGGGATTTCGGTGTTTGAGCGTTTTGCAGAGCGTTCGAACGCGCTACAAAACGCCCAGGTGTGAACCAGGCCTTAAAGAGAAGACAGATTTCAAATACTTAATTCGAACACTTGTTCAGATAAGCTACCTTGACTGATCTAGGTGTAGCTAACTGTCTTGCTTCTTTTGTAGCATCACCCTCATGGGTTAAATTATGGTTGGCGTTGGTTGGCACAGATGTTAAACATGAAACCAGTAGCTGATATCACAGCTACTCTTCTATATGACTTCTTGGAGGTAAGTACGTTTTTTTTTCCCAGTATTTGTGCATTTCCTTATTTCCTGGCCAGTGTTTCAATTAGGGGCGCACTGAAATTTTGGCCGCCGAAACATTTAGGCCAAAAATGGGCTGAGAGTTCCATAACGGCCGAAAATGTAGTGCATCCTATGCTTCTCTCCTCCCCACTAGGTGGGTTACAATCGCTCAGCGATCAAGACTGAAAATAACTGAGGACATAGTATGTTTACTGTGTTTGTTTTTAGTTATTAAAAGAAAGTCTCTACATTGTAGACATAGTAACTCATACTATTTCCACAGTTTATGAATGGCACAGGAGCACTCAGTATAGAGGCTTCCTGTTCATTCATAACAGGGGCTGCAGAAACAGAGATTTAGGACTCTGTCCTCAATCTTTTTCTGTATTAAAAGGGTAATATCAGGGGTCTCCTTGGACCTCTGATATTTCCCCAGAGCCCCCAACCGTAAAGTTAAATAAAACAAATACAAAATAAAAGCTTGTTTTGGCATGACAAATATATTTTTTTTTCGTTCTTAAAATTCCATTTAGGTGCATCCCATGTTACAATAAACATTACCTTGGGAATGCAAACCTGGGAGTCTGTTTAAACAGCCCCGATGCTGGCGACGTACACTGTACGTCAGTCACGAAGGGGTTAAAGTAGGTGAGAAAGATCAACCGCAGGTTAAATGAGCCTATCAATTAATTCTGATCTTGGAAGCATCTTAAACTGCTGTCAGTCGGATGCAATTGACTCAAGCCTAAACCCTCTTGACATAGACCCCTAGACAAGTTATACAAGTACCATGCATATGTGCTTTTTGTGAACCACCAGTGCCTGAGACCCCTCTATGACCCCTAGGGGGGCTGTCCATACCCCCTATGTTTTGCCAGATTTCTCTTGTCACTCTCTAAAATTGGACACTGAAGTGGTAAATTATTGTTTATTTGTTGTATTGTAATTGTAAGGCTGGAGGGCTGGACCTCTTCCATGTTATAGAGCCTTGTTTCTTTCTTCTTCCCTTTTTTTTTTTTTTTTCTTCAGGTTTTTCTCTGCCACCAAGATTCTTATCTCTATAGCTGCTAAGCTGGCTTCTAAGAGCACATAAATATCTGCTGGTTTCCACCGCAGTAGAGGTCAACTCTTGGGGATTGAGCACTTACATCATCTACTGGGTGGAGTTTTGCTTCAATGCTCTCCTCCTCACCATTTAGCATCATGGAAACCTATCCCTGCTGCTGATCTTGTTTTCCCAGGGCCACGTGGATTTCTGGTCTGTTCCTACTGCCTGTGTACATTGATTGTGGTCACCTCTGGCTATCCAACCTTTACCAGCTGTCCGGAGTTTTGTGAGCACCAGAGGCCTTGCTTTGTACCCTGTGCTTAGTTGCATCATGTCTGCATTTAGACATGGTGATGAGGGTCCTGCTGGAACGGGTGACCTCAGCTTATACTCTAATGGTTTTGAGAATGTTTATTCTGTTCCATCCGAGGGACTGATGTCTGCAGTCTGGAATCCTGTTCCCCTATTGTTATAGGATCTGCCTTGTCATTGCCTTATCTGGCGGAGCTCAGGATCATTCCAGAGTCCCCTTCCATATTGATTGGGGACCTATTCTACAGCCAATAAAGAGTTTGGCCAAGTTCTCCAAGTTTTTGACAGCCTACCAAACATCCTGGACGCTGTGACTATCTCTCATTCTTGTTCATGGTCACCTCAGTTTCTCACGACGGGGGCCATCTTTTAGGAATCAGTCTTTTGCTATGGACCCTGATCCAGATTTATTGATGGGGTTCATACCACACTGCTGCATTGGTTCTCTTTTGGGAAGGGTTTTGATAAGCAGTGATCTACACCCCACTGTGGATCTGCCAGTGACTTGCGTTAACAAGGTAAATTCCTAGGTCTCCTCACATTAAAAAAAATTCTACAGACCAATAGTTTGAATTCTTTAAAACCAGGTTTGCTGGCAGATCCTACCCTTTGCCCTTATCTGGCTATGACTTTAATCTGTCAAATTATAGCAGAATGGGACTTTAAAAAAAAAAAGATTTCTCTATTACGTTGGTGGATCCCTTCCTGATAAAGCTGGTGGAGGAAGTATCTGGGGTTCTACACTTCAGCTGCTTTTGGTCTGTGCACTAAATTGCTGAGATTCATTCAACGAGCATCTGACCCAGTTGGTTTTCAAGTTATGTCATCTCTTCAGAGCTCTTCCTTGACCTATCATCAGGGATATTACTGGACACCAGAGTGTGCACCTGCCTCCACACAAGAAATCTAGGTAAAGGTCCCCTTTCTTTCCTTTATCTACATCTGGAGTAGGTACACCTAGGTCTTCCAAACCTCATGCTCTGTGTCTGCTAAGGGAAGCTTTATAGGATAGTTTAGCCTTCAGTTTTTCAGGTACAGAGAATGCCCTCTCAGGATAACCTACTGAACACTCGCAAACAGCGCTCTCTGCAGCTTCTTGCCTTTATAACCTCTTGTGTCATCACACAAAATAGCATACCTACTTCTCTTTTCTGGGGGTATGCCGAGTTCAAAGATCTTGTCAAGCTCCTGTACTAACTTGGCCTTTGGAGCTGTGTGCCAACCTGTTCTAGGCTCCTCCTCACAGAGTGGGTGTTTGTCTACCTCAGGTTAGATCAGTCTAGCAACTTTACATGGGGTCCACCCCTGTCACTTTCCAGAGGGATCCTTTGACTGTCATGTTCAGGCAGGACGTGTACAGTTCACCATTCCCTCAGGGATTTTACTTTCCAGCCCTTGCACCTTAAGTTTCCTTCTAGGGTTTTTGCCCCAGTGTCTCTTTTAGTGCCCTTTCATGGCATCCACATTGTGAGGCACTTAGACGATCTCCTATGGAGATCACTGTTGACGTGGGCTCTAGTAGACCATATTCTCCTCGATCTGGTATCATTAGAAAAGAATGTGGGCCACTTTAAATCAACTGCAAGTGGCTTGGACCACCTTGGTTCTGCAATAGGGGAATCTTCAGCTTTTTTTTTTTACCCTCTAGTTCTTGTCCCTTGGTTAGAGGGTTACCCATCTCTCAACCATTGCCAGGATAATCATGGTCATTGTCTTCTAGGCGCCCCCCTTATTCCAGTCTCTTCTCTGACCTCATACCCTTTTCCCTACCGTTGAGATCAAATTTGGATTTATAATTCCTGATCTGGTGGTCAAGTTGTCCATGGTTGGTAATTATTCTTCGCCACCATCTAGAAGGTCATGTCAGCGGAGAACCTTCCATCTCCTCTACATTCTGGAGTGCCATGAACAGGTAGTTTATCGTGTCTTATGGGATCACTGGTGCAGATTCTTGGTCTTTTTGTATTCAGTTGTAGTCTTCTTCCTTCTGTAGCAGAATGGCTCTAGGTGTAATAGATCTCAAAGCCCATAATGTTTTCATTTGAGCTCAGTAATTCTACATGGAATCCACCAGGTCTATCCTTGCCTCCCTTCACTGGGACCAGAGACATTCTAGATTCTGTGGATAGCATGGACAGTTTGCTGTGGGTCCCCCAGTTTGTGGCCTTGCCCACTAGCCTTTCATCAAAGTGCTAGCCCCAGTACTCTTCTGAAATACTTAGACAACCTTTTTTAGTTTAGGAAATAGTCGGCACAGGCTTTGACGGACAATGTGACCTTGACTATTCATACCTAATCCTGAACCTTCAGAAATTTGTCCTGGAGCTGACTCATGTGGAGTATCTGTGTCTAGTACTAGACACAGATCAGGCCTGAGTGTTTCTCCCACAGGAGAAACTTCAAACTCTCTGATCTGAAATTCATGCTCTCAAGTACAGGAGTCCTCCAACTTTTTGCTTCTGTATCAGAATCCTGGGTCTTAAGTTGGCCTCCCTTGACACTGTCCTGTTTGCCCAGTTGCAACTTTATGTTGCTGCCGTCCAAGTCAGTCCAGTCCCTGGATAAATCAATTGTTTGGCAACCTCTCTTAGTCACGCTGCTATCCTTGTTTAGCATGACTGCATCCTGGATCATTTATCTGCTCACTGCAGCAAAGTGATTATGCGGAGTATCTCTCCATTGAGCAGTCTAGATACAGAGATGTGACATTGAATGCTAAATGGCTAAACCAGAAAGATCGATTAAGCAAGACACGCACATTTCTACCTTTTCTTGCTGTGCAGTGAGGAAAATGTGTGCAAATCAGAAGCCTGCCTGTGAGGAATTAAAAATCCAATGGTAAATTCGTGACCGTCTGTGTGTTTTCAACCCTGCTATCAACTGTTTGCCCGGAGTTTTAATTTAGCTTGTCTTATTCTGTCTGCCTGCAGTTGAGTTGTAAGTAAAATAAGCTGTTAATATTTAAAGGAAATGCATGTATTTGTTATTAAAGGAGAACTATGAGGTGACTGATTTTCACTCATCCTCATAGTTCGAGCCGACGTGTGACAATGAAACTGTCACACGTCGGCTCAATAGATCGGGAAGTGAGCGAATGCATACCGTCGCTCGCTCACTTCTCGATCCTGTCCCTGCAGAGAGCCGTGACTGTCACAGCTCCCTGCAGGGATTCCCCCCTCTCCCCGCTCCGATCCTCCAGCGCTGACTTGCGGAACGGACGGGGGAGGGGGCGGGTACAGCTGGCTCTGCCTCTAGATAAGCAGAGCCAGCTGTCACTTACACAGCTGGGTGGATCTCGACAGTAATGTCGGGATCCGTCCCGGCTGCGGCAGGCTCGGTATACCGCGAGCTCTAGCTTGCAATATACTGAGCTTTGGGTCACGGGAGGATGCTAGTTTATGTCCTCCCGTGACCCTTAGGAGAACTATGGGGAAAAACACTTCGTCCATAGTTCTCCTTTAAGTACCTGCAGTTGAATCTGTCCATCTATTATTTTTATTAAATTTTGTTAAGATCTATTAAAGTTTAATAATGAGACTTGATGCTGACTCGCCTTCCTAGGCACAGTTCCAAAAGTGCTTTATGGCAAATAAGGCTACTTTTGTAACTACTCTGATGCCAGGTTTAATTTCTCTAGGAGCTTTTCTAAAAGGAAAGCTCCAACTGAATTGGTTGTTGGGGGCACAATGACATTTAGCTTGTTCTGTTTCTATTTGTTTGAATGCTTTGCTGTCTATCTTCAGGTGTGCGGCAACGCTCTGATGAAACAATACCAAGGGCAGTTTTGGAAACTAATTAGTTTACTTCAAGAAGAACTCTTCCCTAGGTATGTGTGTTGGAAAACCATGTATTAGTCACTCCACTCGTCTACTGTAAGTGGAAAATGTTTGTATTATGGGTTTAGGCCGGCTTTTAAAGTTGACTTGTAGCCTGAAAAAAAGTAAACTGCTAGTAAGCTCAGGTTTTTGATAGACCATTTGTCAAAAAATAGAAAACAAGTTGCTGGTAAAAAGAGAAGACAACTTTTTGTCTTTTTTGTACACTGCCTGCTTCAAAGTACACTTATCAGATGCCAAAGAGTGGAGCCCAGTGCTGGTATAGTGTAACAATCGATCAACAAACAAGGAAGATGCTGGCGGGAGGAGAAGCTTCTGGTGCCTGTTGCTCTGTCTTAAGTGGAACAGGGCAATATCAAGCAGTTTCTGAATGGGTAGAAGCCTCTGTAGTGAGTGCTTCTCCCCATTTGAGAAAGTCATGAACGAACAGGAAGTGATGTAAATCACATCCTGTTCACTCATAACTGAGGACACATAGTACTATGTGTCCCCAGTTATTCACAAACATTTGGAGTGATCAGGCGATCGCTCCAGTGTTTGTGCTGCACACAGAGGATCGGTAATATCACTGATATATTTACCGATCCTCCGCTCGGCCACGCACAGAGCCGCCGGCATCCTGAAACTGACAGGATGACAGCGGCTCCGATCTCCTCCCCGACCGCTGCTCTCTCATGCCGCTCGATCATCGTGATCGAGCGGCTCACTCCTCCGACCCCCACCGCCGGCCATTTGTGTTCGGATGCACGCTGCCTCAGCCCATACAAGCGGGGGGGGAGCAGTGGGATCCATGGAGACACAGATACCTGCCTGGAACAGCTCCAGGGAGGAGAGGCTGAAGATGCCGGCGGCAGCTGTGCCGGCAGGAGTGAGCCTCCAGGAATTTTTGTTAAAGGAGAACAATGGGGTTAAGTCTTTTCCCCATAGTTCTCAGGGTAACGGGAGGACCCAAAATAGCGTCCTCCCGCCACCCTAAGCTCAGTATACCGCGAGCTATAGCTTGCGGTATACTGAGACGCCGCAGTATACCGCGAGCTCCTGCTCGCGGTATACTGAGACGCTGAAGCAGATCTCGACAATTATGCCGGGATCCGCCCAGCTGCGTGACTGACAGCTGGCTCTGCCTATCTAGAGGCAGAGCCAGCTGTACCCTCCCTTCACTCCACTCGTCTACTGTAAGTGGAAAATGTTTGTATTATGGGTTTAGGCCGGCTTTTAAAGTTGACTTGTAGCCTGAAAAAAAGTAAACTGCTAGTAAGCTCAGGTTTTTGATAGACCATTTGTCAAAAAATAGAAAACAAGTTGCTGGTAAAAAGAGAAGACAACTTTTTGTCTTTTTTGTACACTGCCTGCTTCAAAGTACACTTATCAGATGCCAAAGAGTGGAGCCCAGTGCTGGTATAGTGTAACAATCGATCAACAAACAAGGAAGATGCTGGCGGGAGGAGAAGCTTCTGGTGCCTGTTGCTCTGTCTTAAGTGGAACAGGGCAATATCAAGCAGTTTCTGAATGGGTAGAAGCCTCTGTAGTGAGTGCTTCTCCCCATTTGAGAAAGTCATGAACGAACAGGAAGTGATGTAAATCACATCCTGTTCACTCATAACTGAGGACACATAGTACTATGTGTCCCCAGTTATTCACAAACATTTGGAGTGATCAGGCGATCGCTCCAGTGTTTGTGCTGCACACAGAGGATCGGTAATATCACTGATATATTTACCGATCCTCCGCTCGGCCACGCACAGAGCCGCCGGCATCCTGAAACTGACAGGATGACAGCGGCTCCGATCTCCTCCCCGACCGCTGCTCTCTCATGCCGCTCGATCATCGTGATCGAGCGGCTCACTCCTCCGACCCCCACCGCCGGCCATTTGTGTTCGGATGCACGCTGCCTCAGCCCATACAAGCGGGGGGGGAGCAGGGGGATCCCTGGGGAGCAGTGGGATCCATGGAGACACAGATACCTGCCTGGAACAGCTCCAGGGAGGAGAGGCTGAAGATGCCGGCGGCAGCTGTGCCGGCAGGAGTGAGCCTCCAGGAATTTTTGTTAAAGGAGAACAATGGGGTTAAGTCTTTTCCCCATAGTTCTCAGGGTAACGGGAGGACCCAAAATAGCGTCCTCCCGCCACCCTAAGCTCAGTATACCGCGAGCTATAGCTTGCGGTATACTGAGACGCCGCAGTATACCGCGAGCTCCTGCTCGCGGTATACTGAGACGCTGAAGCAGATCTCGACAATTATGCCGGGATCCGCCCAGCTGCGTGACTGACAGCTGGCTCTGCCTATCTAGAGGCAGAGCCAGCTGTACCCGCCCCCTCCCCCGTCCGTTCCGCCAGTCAGCGCTGGCGGATCGGAGCGGGGAGGGGGGAATCCAGCCCCTCCCCTGTCATGGCAGAGAGCCGTGACAGGATCGAGAGGTGACCGAACGCCGGTATGTGTTCGCTCACCTCCCGATCTACTGAGCCGACCTGTGACAGTCTCATTGTCACAGGTCGGCTAGAACTATGAGGTGAGTGAAAAGCACTCACCTCATAGTTCTCCTTTAATGGCTGTCATCAGCAGCTTGTGATCCGCTGATGTCAGATAATAATTTAAAGGGGACCATCCGGGGAGCAGTTCTGATATAAGTTCGCTAAAGCGACCATGAGCTTATATCAGAACTGCTCCCCGGATATAGCAGAACGGTAAATGCCACCGCCGTAAGGCATACTGACCTGGCCATTTGGGAACAGTTTTGTTCCACCGTATGCCTTGCGTCTGTGGCAGGGAAAGGGTTAAAGAATGTTTTGTCGTTGGGCCTGTTAGCCTGTGTAAGGGCTTGTTCACACCAAATGCAGACCAGATCTGCATGAGGTTCTGCACACGCAGTGTGTTATACCGCGTTTATTGCCACATTTTTGATGCGTTCCGAGCCGTTTTTGGTTAAAAAAAAAATAAAAATGTTTTCTTTCGTTTAAAATGGGCTTTTAGTGCGTTCCAGAGCGTTTGCATGCGTTTTTGATGCGTTTGCATGCGTTCCAGAGCAGGTAAAATAGGGCTTGCTGCATTTTTTTTTTTTTTTAACATGCTCTGGGGCGCCGCGGTGTGAACTAGAGCCCAAAATACCATTTGGAATACATTGGACGCAGTTTTGATCCGGTCTCTGTAACTGCTCTGCTCCTGGAACGCACTTGGTGTGAACAAGCCCTTACTGTGTTGCCCACCCCTTTGTTTTTGGATGTCCAGCTTGTCCAAGATTTCTGTGTCCCCCAATATTCGAAAGATAAAATAGAGGGGGGGGGGGGGGGTTTCCGTGTACTCACCACACTCTTGTTTCTTCCTATAGAATCAAACGGGTAACTGAGGAGGGGCAAATGGGGTCGGTGGTTCGACTAAGACTCTTCTTGGAAGTAAGTACTGGGGGTCTAGTTGGGTGGATGGTTTCTGGATGGCTACCCTGGCTCACACCTTTTTTGTTTCATTTATTACAGAAAATCTTACAAAAAAGAGCGATACCTCTGCCAAAGGGATACCAACACTTTTCATCATAAAAGAAATGAAGTCACGATGTATTCCAACTCCTAGATTGTAAAATTAAATTGTATGTAAACCCAATCAATGAACTTCTTTTATTTGCTCCTTTTTTTGGTCTGGTAAATAGATCAGTTAAAGCCCTAACGCACTTCCTGCCCTGGGGTGACAACGCTGCTCTTCCCTAGAAACAGTACAGTGAGCGGGCCTTGTCACCCTAGGACAGGAAGTGTGTTACTGACCAGATCACCAGGTGAGAGTAAAAGGAAAGGAGCCTGAAAAGAAATCCTAGGCGGCCACACAAGAACTGCCAAGCTGCAATACGTTAAAGTGTATCTAAAGCCGAAACCTTTTTATTTTAGTTTTTGGATTTAGGTTTTTATTGCTCTTTGTCCTCCAAAACCATTCACTCTCTCAATCCGTTCTGGACCACATTGTCACTGAAACCAACATTTTCAATTGGCCCCCAGAATGGAAGTTTTAAGACAATATTTGAATGGCGACACTGGTTCCGGTGACAACTGTCTAAGAGGGCATTTCCCTCCCTTTTTGTTAGATTTTTTTTTTCTTACTTCCTGTTGTGCCTCCAGAAATAGACATAAAGGGAAATCTCCCTAATGGGGCACAAAGGGTAAAAAAAAAAACAAATCTGGTGGGGGTTTTCACCATCCCATACGCCATCCAAAATAAAACATTTCGGCTTTAGTTCTGCTTTAGAAGCTTTTTTAATAATGTATTTTTTTCATGATTGTTATATTTGTAAATAAATGTAACAAATTCTTAACAATAACCTGTGTGGTGTATTTTGTGGTTAACCCACGACATCCAACGTTTTGCAAAGTCTTTGTAATATATGATACCCCAAGGCCAGGTTCCGCAATACACCCTCCCACCCGCGCTGCTATCCCCCCCTTCCCATAAATGGAGAATGGCAACCAGATGGCAGGGCGGCGGGGTTAGTTTCAATTTTATTTTACTGGTTTGTTTAAAAGAAATGAAGTCACGATGTATTCCAACTCCTAGATTGTAAAATTAAATTGTATGTAAACCCAATCAATGAACTTCTTTTATTTGCTCCTTTTTTTGGTCTGGTAAATAGATCAGTTAAAGCCCTAACGCACTTCCTGCCCTGGGGTGACAACGCTGCTCTTCCCTAGAAACAGTACAGTGAGCGGGCCTTGTCACCCTAGGACAGGAAGTGTGTTACTGACCAGATCACCAGGTGAGAGTAAAAGGAAAGGAGCCTGAAAAGAAATCCTAGGCGGCCACACAAGAACTGCCAAGCTGCAATACGTTAAAGTGTATCTAAAGCCGAAACCTTTTTATTTTAGTTTTTGGATTTAGGTTTTTATTGCTCTTTGTCCTCCAAAACCATTCACTCTCTCAATCCGTTCTGGACCACATTGTCACTGAAACCAACATTTTCAATTGGCCCCCAGAATGGAAGTTTTAAGACAATATTTGAATGGCGACACTGGTTCCGGTGACAACTGTCTAAGAGGGCATTTCCCTCCCTTTTTGTTAGATTTTTTTTTTCTTACTTCCTGTTGTGCCTCCAGAAATAGACATAAAGGGAAATCTCCCTAATGGGGCACAAAGGGTAAAAAAAAAAACAAATCTGGTGGGGGTTTTCACCATCCCATACGCCATCCAAAATAAAACATTTCGGCTTTAGTTCTGCTTTAGAAGCTTTTTTAATAATGTATTTTTTTCATGATTGTTATATTTGTAAATAAATGTAACAAATTCTTAACAATAACCTGTGTGGTGTATTTTGTGGTTAACCCACGACATCCAACGTTTTGCAAAGTCTTTGTAATATATGATACCCCAAGGCCAGGTTCCGCAATACACCCTCCCACCCGCGCTGCTATCCCCCCCTTCCCAAAAATGGAGAATGGCAACCAGATGGCAGGGCGGCGGGGTTAGTTTCAATTTTATTTTACTGGTTTGTTTTTTTTTGTTTTTTTTTTTTTTTTTTTTTGTTTTGTTTTGGTTTTTTTATTACTTTTTTATTTTAATTCTTTTTTTAATGTTTTTTATTTAATAATAATTTTTTTAATCAATTTAATTTTTTTAGATTTGTATTTATCTTATTTACTTTATCCTTTTTTTTGCTTATTGTTTTTTTATAATTTTCTTTTTTACTTTTTAATCGCCTTTTTTTATTTTTTTTAAATCAATTTAAGTTGGTGTTTTTTTTTTTCACCTAACTTTGCTATCACACAGGAGAACACAATCCCCTGTGTGATAGCAATTGGAGGTGACGGGTTCTCTTTATTGACCCTGTCACCTCCAATACAGGAGTTCTAGCACAGCACTGTGCTGGAACTCCTGTGACAGGTGGGCCTGGGCACACTTCAGCACAAATATTAAAGTCCAAACATGGCCAGAAACAGGCTAAATGCTGATGAAAACTTCAAACAAGTCCCCCCATATAAACAGTTTTAATCACCATCATTAAAAAAAGTCTACATCTGTACTGCAAAAGAGAATTCTAAGTATATGGAGTTGAGGAAAAAGGCTTGGCAGGGCTGATGTTGTTATTACCGGAGTGCTGTCTGTAGAAGGTGGACACCAGGGGCAGGTGGTTGCCTTGGTTGGCCCTTCAGCTCACTCCCAGTGCCACCCACCTTACTTAAGGTCTGCCCTGCTAGCCATTGAAAAGCATGTGTCCTCTCCTGCTTCTTCATTGCCACTCCCAAAACCAGGCCAAGGGGGTAGTGGGAGTTGCATTCTGGCAGGAAAAAGGATCCTTGCTGGACCCATTACCGGGATTCCCATGTGGATATACCAGCGGGTACTTGAAATGACTGCGGATGGCGTCACCACATGCAGATAGTTGAGCGTCACCAGCACACCAAAACGATGGATACAGCAATTAGGGGTCCGTTTATTGAAGAATGCCGTCCATCATATGCAAGTGCTTTTTGGACCACACAGGGTCCCCCACATCAGGCTCAGAGATGTATTCTGGCAGGGTGCACCTGCATGCACAGGAAGCTCCTGCCACTAGTTACTGCTGAGGAGCGACAGGTGATATTACAGGGTTTAAGAAGACACACACACACACACACACACACACACACTGCATTTGAGAGGGAAAACGATTTTTAAGGTGCATAAAAAAACAGCTTGCTGCATTGTTACATAGGTTGAAAAAAAGACACAAGACCATCTTTAACACATTATAATGGTTCATATTAGGGATGCACCGAAGTTTTGGCCGCCGCAAATGGCACTTTTGGTAGAATGCCGAAAGTATCATGTTATGGCCGAAATTGCGGTACGTGCCTAGTTTCCCTCCTCGCTGCTAGGCGCTGCTCTGTGTCCCCAGCAGGGAGGAGAGCGCTTTGAGCTGCCGGCATCTCGCCATCCCATACTCCATCCAAAATAAGATAAAACATTTTGGCTTTTGTTCTACTTCAGGCCTCCGTTCTCCTCCCGCACAGCACCGCGGATGGAGAACGGTGTGGGGGCGGAGACAGCTGTCACAGGAGGCCGAGCGGTGCGGGAGGAGAGCGCTGCGAGCGTGTCACAGGAGGCCGGCTCTCCTCCCGAACCGCCCCGCAGATGGAGAGTTGTGTGTGGGTGGAGACCGCTGTCACATGAGGCCGAGCCGACGGTGCAGGGGAGGAGCCAGTTGTCAAAATAGACCGAGCTCTCCTCCCCACACCATTTGTTCAGCCTCGCTTGTCCTGTGACAGCGTGTCAGGATAGAGAGCGGGTACAAGCAGTCAGTGATCACTGAGTGTTTGTAAATAATTGAGGACAAGTTTACTCTGTCCCCAATTATAAATGAATAGGAAGTATTCTACCTACTTCCTGTTCTGTCATGATTGAGGATATAGTAAACATACTATGTCCACAAGCTATGAATGAACAGGAACACCAAGTATAAATGCTTCCTGTTCATTGTAACAGGGGATGCAGAAAAAGAGATTGAGGACTCAATCTCCTCCTTTTTTCCATTTTTTAAAAAGGGAAATATCAGGGGTTTGTTTAGAACCCTAATATTTCCCCAGAGCTCCCGACAGTAAAGTTAAAAAATACAATATTTAAAGGTTTAAAACAAAAATGTAAATAGAAAACAATTAATTTTCTGTTTTGGCCTGACCATTTTTATTTTGCATATTAAATGTTTGACATTTTTCAGTATATAACCAGAGACGAGGGAACAATATCGGACAAAGACACATCCAAACTACAGTTCAAATGTAATGGGGAGGGGAGGTAGGGGATATGAGCACCACCTGGCCCGGGGTCGATATAAGGGAAAAATTCAAAATATATAACCACCTCAGTATTGGGGATAAAGGTAAAAAAGGACCATCAATCAATTCGACACGGCTCACACTATGGGGAGAAAACATTTCAGCCAGATGGCACGGCGGGCCTTAGAGACATTAGGGCAATGTATTCATCCGAGGTTTTAAAGTGAAGCAAGCACACCCAAGTTTTGTAATAGGTGCCATATTACATCCTTGTTAGAATGAAGGCTTTCCTCCAGCCTCAGGTCATCTACGTGGGCTAACCATTCCGCCACAGTAGGCATTCGGGGAGAACGCCAGTGCTTTGGAATGAGAGGGTACTGCAGTCTTCCTGTATGATCGTAGCGAGAGGGGCTTGAGATGAAAGAGGCATAACCAGGGGGTCTAAGGGTGTGGGAATCCCACTGATAGCAGTTATAAGGCGTGTGATCTCCCCCCCCCCAGTACTCCCGTGCCAACGGACAGTCCCAACACAAGTGAGCAAAGGTGCCCGTTGCGCAACATGAGTGCCAACATAAGGGGGAGGCCGCAAGGCAAATGGCATGGGTGGTAGTTGGGACCAGTGCTACCTGAAAACAATTGAAGCAGAAGCCCCCGTTATAGAAGATCAGTAAGGGGCTGTAGCAATGGACTTTCTTGTACAAGTCTCTGGAAATGCAAGATTCACTAAAGCAGGACAGACGGAGGTCAAATGCACCCGTCTATGAATGCTGAGTGATCCTAGAAGCTTCTCCAAGATGGCCGCCGGCAGGCGTCAATCGGATGGCCGTGCATGCGCGATGACGACGTGGCAGGCTGTCACCCAGTCTAGAGACCGGGGGGATACCCGGCCTCGGGACGTCCCTGCTGCTGATCTGAGAGTTCTGGTTCTGACTCAGCAGGAAACATGTCAGAACTCTGCAGAGAGTCCAGTGCTAGAGTCCTTTACAGCATGCTGGCAGGGGAGAGGCCTTTCTATGCTGCTTGTGGCTGCTTGGTAATTATATCGAAGGATACGTCTTTGGTCACCTTTTGTTTCTATGCACCAGGAATGTATTAAGCTGATATTAAACTGGAGCCACAGAGTGGCATTAAGAGAAGGGTCTTCCTCCTGCAGGTCTGTGTATTATTTATCTGAGGCCTGCGCGCAAAACCCAACACCACCCTTCCCTTCAAAAACCAGCCGTTTCATCCTGCGCGTCCTCGGGAATTTCCGGAAGACCTCGGCTCCCCTTCGTGCTGGAGCCGCAGTCGGGAAGGGGGCGTGCCCGCTGCGCTCTGCCACCTCGTGCTTTTCCGGAGAGGCTGCGGAGGGTGACGTCACTCGGCCGGCCCCGGGTACAAGTAGGGCGAGCCCCGCGCGACGCTACCAGACGACGATCCGGAGATCAGGAGCGAGGAAGCAGGAGTGCAAAACACCCGTAAAGCCGGTGAGGCCGCACCCCATTACCTGCACCCCCCCGCGTCCTTCCGCCCGATCCCCCTTTCTAGAGCACCTCCTTTTATATTCTAGAGGAGATCGATGTTCTGCCATTGCAAGACGTGTCCCCGATCATTGCACCGTGCTGCATTCATTGCAATGACATAAGACATCCTCTCTATAGCATGCAATGTGCATTTCCTATTACTAGCATAGCTGTGATCATCTAGTTCTAGATCAGCACTGGCCTTGTACCCACAGTGCTAAATGAATGGGAGGTGACAACTGCATTGTCTATATACCATTTATTTCTCACCATTTGTAACGATGTGTCATACCTGCACTGTGATCTCTACTTCAATACAAGTAACCTATTGCTACTCAGTAACCTGCACTGTCCTAGTGATCAGTTATACCTATGTGGATGGTCTACTGCAAACCATTCATTCTGATTGGTTGATCATACCT